ATGAAAGACCAATGGGCGTGTTGGCCGAAGGAAAGACGGGAAGAAGGGTGGACGCACGACCACTGTAGGGCGATGCCCTCGTTGAGGGTGACGCCACCATCGAAGGGACCCCGCATGGTGCGCCACACTTCTCGTCGTCCCTCGAGAACCCCAAGTGATCCAGGTCCCTACATTTTGACGCGGGCCATGTTCCATGGACACAGTGTGCGAGAGGCACTGATACAACGAAGGCTGGACGTTCCAATCACGCCCACGAGGCATCAAAAGAGCAATTTGGTAGTCTACAATGGCACCACTAGAAATAGAAGGCCACTGCATTGCTTGGCATGAAGAGCAAATCATTCACGCATGAACTGACAGAGGCACTCGCCGTGAGAACATATCTAGTGTCTGGAATCCGCCGCGTCAACTCATACTTCTACAGTATACTCAAAACAAAACTTGAAGTGAGTAGACTCGAGTGCGCATCTTTCAGCCTCTCCCTCGCTTCACTGACTGATCACAATGACTCGAAGCACTCAGCGCCCAGGCATGGGCTCAACAATTTGGTGATGATCATCTTTTCATTTCATACGATCTCGATTCTTGACACAATGGCATCACAATAGTGGGGGGACTCAAAGGCGGTCCATCGTGTCTCGCTTCCATACAGCCCGGGCTCGCGGACAGTCAACCCGATCATTCGTGAATACGTTGGCTAGCTCGAAGGAATGAAGAGCAGTGTCTATATTTGGCACTTTAGCTTTTCCTTGGAACAATCCGCTCTGTGCCGTTATAGCGTTGGTACCAGTGTATCCTCCACGTAGATTTCATCAGCTATCTCAATCTGATGGTGATGGGGCTGGGAACCCCATTCGCGCTGACAAGATGTAGGCATATTATAGTCTCATACACCTCGATAGAATCCATTGCTGGGCGTATCACAGAAGGAAGTTAGACGACGGCGAGAACGCGGAAAGGACCAGGTTAGTTTGATTTGAAAGCTATGTTTGAATGTCGCTACCCTCACGTTGGTCAATTCTTCTGATTCTGTTCTGATCCAGGAGCCTTGAGAACTCATCTTTGATTCGATCACTTCGTGCGCAGAACCGGCATATAAACTGAACCTAAGAAATCGAGGGCACACCTTCGAAGAATGTCTTGTCCCCCCCTTCAGGATATTCCACACCCTCAAGGTATTTTGACCACTTCCATTGGTGCGTTGCTCATCGGCGCCTTCTTTTCAATTTGGTTGGTGGCTACCACATCCCGCGCTATTGACAAATGAGCATTAATGAACATCTGCCGTGTCAAGCCTTTTTGGCGCGAATTCGCTGCAAACATGGTACTACTACCAACACTATCCGACCGACACCGTCGTCATGAAGATCGCAGTATGTAATGATTTCAGTCGAATCGACGCTGGCTAAGAAAATCATTGGTTATCAGGTCGCCAGTGTATGGTAAGTGCTGTATTCCGAGGGTTGCACGCTGTGCCAATTTACCTCTAGGATATTCGAAGTTCTGCATACGATTTTCATCTGCCATGCCGTCTATTTCTATGTTGTGTTGGGCTTCGGCAGACCAACCATTTTAGACTCGACTGTTTGGTGAGTTTGTATCTCGCACTGTTTGATCTAGTAGCTCATAATCTGCATCATCTAATTAGGAGTATTAATGTAAGCATAACTCATCTTACGCTCGCAAGCGGATTCACTTACACCCCTCGAGCTCACCATCGTCGTCACCGTAAGTTCATCTTTGCTTCTCGCCGAAATATGTGGAACACAAAATTGATTGCCGACATTTAGGGACTTCTCACCCTCACGGCCCACATTTTCTTTGCTTGGCGTATCTACATATGTGCGTATGCTACTCAAGCCTCTGGCGGACCTATCTGATACTTCCCAGTGAGCAGAGCGCGAATTATTCCATTCATTGTCGTGCGTAGCTGTATTTTATCCATAACTTGCCGGGACATTCAGTCCTGATGAGCGACCTTCAGATATTCCTCGGAATAGGGCATACAGGTATGTGCTAGCACGTAGCCAACAACTCAGAGGTGGTCACTAATATCAACATACTCCATAGCGACGTCAGGGGGTGCGATTCATATCATCGGAATATTATAACGTCTAATTGTACCTCGCCCCGTAGCTGTCGCCGGAATTGCGTATGTTTCTATAATATACTGGGAGGCGTAGCCGATTTAAGGAAAACGTCCTCCTAGATTTAGCATTGAGAGATATACAGACATTCCCCGCTTCTGGGAGGTACGTTCTCTTGTATCAGTTGTTTCTAGGCATCTGATAAGCATGTTGCAGAACCTCACAACGAGCTCTCTGGCGTTGGAAGGAGTGACAGATCTTATAATCGCATTCTCGTTGGGTTACTACCTCCACAATGCCCGTTCTGGGATAATAAAGTCAGTTGTGGTCGCACTCGTCTTCTCGTCAGCTGTTCGTGACGTACTGATTTGACATTCAGAACCGACAAGCTCATCAACAAACTCATATTCTGGGCAGTCAACGTTGGGATTTTGACGAGGTGAGTATCATAGCCAGTCTCATGCCGCACATAGGACCGAAGTCCAACAGCATCGCGGACTTCACAGTAATGGCGCTAATAGCTGTATGTCTATTTTCCTTTTGAAACGAACTTAATCTCAGGCCTCTTGCTTAGACCCAACACACGAAGAACATGACATTTGTTGCAGTCTACGAGATTATCAGTAACTTGTGTAAATGGGCCACTGCTGATGCATGGCAGGTTACGGGTTCTAGGTTTGCTAGAGAGAGATTTACTGTACATTCTAATCAAGTGTTCAGTATTCACACAAAATGAACAGGCAGACATATGAAACATAGAGTAAAAGAAAGCAAGGGATGACTGTGACCTACTGAGCATTAGTTTAATTATAAGATACCCTCCCAATTTCCCAATTACTGTCTATTGTCTAACTTATCAGATACTTACTTCCCGCTTGTACTTGCACTATGGTCTCCCACATTTGAATCCCACATGTTTGATTCATTCACCTTTTTGTCCTCATTTCCAGCCTTTGGGCTTGTTCCAGAGGGTTATCAAGCAATGCAGTGGGTGGTCTTTAGATTCAGAAAGATACATCACGTAAATGCAGTACTTAAATACCTAATCTACACATTAGATACCACATGAGATGCCTGTCTGAGAATACCATAATAGCAAGCTGGACTCACAGTAGCTCTCTGCTAGCTCAAATTCTGACAATGTTCATACCTGTAGCATGTGATGCAAACCATTCACAGCCCAAAGTGTTCATTTTGGTCTTTGGCACCATGTTCCTGGATAGAAAAGAGTGCAAAAGGGCCATAGGGGGACCCCTAAGGGGATTGAGGACTGGTCCACCACACATCATTGATCCATCATATTAACTTAATTCATCTTTGCATTTACTACATAGATTTACCTACATCTACATTTCACCTAGGCCAGCTTGAGTTTGGCCCTTTTACAGGGCTTTCTACTTTCTCAAGTGTTTGGTTTTGTTTCATGTCTGGGTTCCATTTATTCCCAGACTGTAAGCCAGCTGCCAAACAAGAGAGCTCATGGTGACAAGAAATAGATTCTTTGTTATCCTAAATGAGTTGGATGGTCATCCAAGTATTCATTTGAGCTCAGTGTGACATGTGAGTGAACAGCAGTTAGTTGTAAGAGTATAGTAGTTCTCAAAACCAGCTGTCACCACATCAATACAAAATGAATCCAATTGATGCATCAAGAATCATACTTTATCCAAACAGCTGTAAAACTATCCATCCCAGTTGAGAAATAGAAGTTTCAGCTCTCAATCTTGCAGTTAGCTATATATCTGGGGAATATATGTAGACCTCTCTAATATGTGCATATTAATACCACAATATGTGAAGACAGTACAAAGTATCTGAGGACTGGCATATCTGTATGTCATTTGGCCATCTGAGAAAGACCACCACAATTTATGTTGTAATAGCTCTTTAGTCCAATAAAGCTAGCAGTAGGAGCAACATTGAACATCTTAGAACAAAGATGGAGAACAAGAAGACACCAGGCTGGAGGAGATAAAATTAAGTGTTAATTAATTATTGTTAGATTATCTCACACCCAAAGTTCTGCCATTGTCAATTGAAGGAGAATTGTGCTCGAAATGTTTATGACCTTAGGGGCGCTCCTGAGGCCCCCTGAGAAAGCTCAATATGGCAACTCACATGATCCAAGAAGCTAGATCCCAGCGTCTATTTAATTAATTTTGATCCCGAGATCCAGATGCTCGATCCACCGGCTACCGGGTACTGCAATAGCCACCCTCTTTTGTAAGCGCCCGCGCAATCCCCCAAGTATAAAACGGATTCTTTCATTACGTAAACTTCATTACAGAACCCGTAACCGTACGTGGATTTTCCACTTAGCCTCCTACCTCAGACCCGAGTTCTAACCTGAGGAATTAGTGTACGCGGCGTCCATGCTTGCCACGTAGGGATTATTGTCAGTTGTCATTTATCGTGCGGCCACTCATTCCTCGTTTAGCTTGAATATTCGTCAATTCACCAGAGAGCACGTTTTAGACGAGCACGGCACAGTCATTCATCTGGACTCTTTTCCCGCACATGTCAAGATAAGCAAGGTCAGCGGCCTACTCTCCTCTCGGAATACCGATTTGATTGTCCCCCTATAAGTCCGTTACTATCGTTTCGGACGCAAGGGAAGCTCTGGGCGAATCCAGATATGCCGACGCCTCAGCGTCGTTGAACCATAATGATATTGATATCTCAGTAAGTTGGAAAAATACAGATAGTTCGACGATTACTTACGTTTCGTACCATAAGGAAACCAAAGGCACCTTACATACTGGGCTCTCCAACGAAGAAGTATTTCAGAACTGAATGGGTACGAAGATTGGAGTTTATCCTTCCCGGCTTCGATTGTCTGTTCCATGTTTGTATTTCAACCTGTTGCTACCGCTGTGCTCCAGTGCGGTGGCGAGTGTCGCGTGTCCATCAACGGGTTCAATGGCGTAGTTGGTTATCGCATCTGTCTTACACTCTAGCACTGTCGCACAGAAGGTCCTCAGTTCGAGCCTGGGTTGAATCACTGTTTTCTTTTGATACATGGGTGCTATCAAGTGTTACTAGTGTCTCATCGACTCAGTGTCAAGCAACAGGCTACGCAGACGTGATCAGCATTCACGCAAATACTCTGCACTGGGTCTTAGTCCATCTGAATATCTTATTCGCCTCTTTTTATTTCAACGTGCACTTCGGTAACACTGACATAGCGACTACTTGATAACATTCCCCTACCTAAATGTGGCGACCTCCTAAAAAGGAATTATATCAGGCATTGATAGCACGCAAAGGGGGGGAGTACACCCACTGAAGTGCCCAATTGAAGTTGAGGGCGTTAGAGAAGCAGACACTCCCTGTGAAACCTTGGTCCGCTATGCAAGCTGAATACGACTTGGAATGGGGCGTCGTTGGCAAAAAAGTACTGACCGTGAAGTGCGCCAACCCATCAGCACGCGAGGCATTCTTAGTTGACTTTGCACCTTCGTCGCACGGAGGAACTCCCATGCCTTGCTTGTATTCCAAGGCCGAATGCAGCCAGTGGACATCCAAGGTACATTATCGTAGCACCCCACCCATAAGATACTAATCACCTTGCAAAGTTGCTGATATAGGACTTAATCAGCGTCTAGGATGAGTAGAAACGACGTATGTAGATACTCACGCAGACGACTAGTGGCCGTGTCGACGTATTCAACAGCGACATTGTTGTTCATTCCATCCAATCCACATTGCGCCGTCAATCTCATGTGATGTGAGCTGCACGATCCCCCCGCCGAGAAGTGTTCTACCAAGGAAGAGGCTCAGACGCACGGAAATAGAACAAGGCTGGGCTACACATACCGCAGAAACCCTTTATCTGGCGTTCGAGCACTGGGAGAATCAATTCTTAGATGTCGAGACTGGGCTTCCCGTGCTGCGAATGCGCCGCTGCTTGAGTTCATCGCGGTAATATACAGTGTTGTTGAAAGGCAGGTAGCTCCGTATGCAAAGTGGATCTGTCCTCCGGGTCGTGGATTACGCCAGCAGAGCGTTCGCCGTGCCTTCGACAAGTAGTTCCCTTGACCTTCGGCCTATGCGACCCGCGCAATGGCGAGCAAGGCTCGTATACTGAGATGGAGTGTTATACAGATATGGTAGCGGGTGGGCGAAATTGATGGGGGAGGGCTAACTTGGCGGTCGCCCATTGTGGGCTGGCAGACACGTTGACTTCGTTTAACCGGAGCGACTTCAAGTAAACATCAAAGGTTCCTCGTGCGGTCGGATACCCATGATCGGTCTGCGTCTATATGGATGTTGGAACGAACGCCCATGGACAACTCAGTCGCGTACCTTGTTCGGTTTGACAGGTGCTCCCTGACTACGAACCACTAGTACGCCGGTGCGCACAGCGGCAAAGGACCCCCTTCCGCTTCCGGGGAGACGTAGCCTATCCATTCGATTCCTCCCCGCTTCGCTTTCCCCAGCCCCATCTTGCCTCTCTCAAACGTTACCCGGCTAATATCCTATGCACTGGTTCTCCGGACACCCTTCTCTCTCGGTTTCGAAGAGGTTTCTTGCGTTCGCCGCAAACAAGCTTGCTACCTCGTAAAGCCGAGTTCAGTGCTATTCGGGACTTTGCGTCGATGAGAAAGGGAGTATGTATCGAAAGGGTGATATGTCGGTTCAGCAAAATGCTTCGACTCTTGAACCATGTCTCTACTGACATAACCAGCAGCCAACTCCTTGGTGATTTCGGCGCGCTGTCCACGTCAGTCCCGGTGATTATAGTACATGAAAACTCTGCTCACCTTGTCTCATCGTCAAGAATCGGAAAGACTCCTACTCTCGGCCCCATTTTGAATATGTTCCCAAGTTCCTCCGCCTTTTCCAAGGTCTTCGAGTGTCGAGGAGTCTAACTACCATCTGCAACCTGTGAAGCGGGGCGTCGTAACCTACACCAGAAGGCGACAACAGCCTGTTGGTGGACCATCTCAAAGGTTCGGGTATACGTGTCAAGATGCGGGATGTCAGATAAAAAGATTTGCACGTTAGTGTACATAGCTCGCCGACGTGCACTGTTACATGTCTTTGCCGTTGGGTTGGAGATTTCGACTGACGGTGAGTGGGGAAGAGGTCGTAATAGGCGCTGGTAGTTCGCGTTGAATTTACCACCAATAACATTAGTGGCATTGGTGTTTCCTCCCTGTCATGCTCACCACATTGACATCGCTTCTATCTTTTGAATTCAAGACGGAGCCCCTCGTCCATCAAAGCTGTGCTGTGTCAGGCTACGTGGTTAGCGAAACTGACAATTTGTCCCAACTCGCGGGGTCGGAAGGGGAGTTTGGAGGAGAAAGTGCGTTTTTCACGCACTTTCCTAGCGCTACGCCTTTGTACTAAAGTCATCTTGGTCTTGGATGGTGGGGCTAGACTACAAGCACAACATCCTAACCAGAGTCTCAATTCTTGGCCACATGCACTTTGTACCGACGTAGCGGCTACCTACGCTGGGGCGGGTGATATGACAAGTAAATTTGCCCTCTATAAGGCCTGTGTCCTTTTAACTTCGGAAATAGAGCTGAACTTACACTTATCCGCGTACGACATGCATGCAGTTCGCTTAACATGGTCTACGCTACAGCATTTGCATGAAGCGACGTTGATGAAAACAATGTACTTTAGCGTCGGCAGGATACAGGCTGGTGAAAGCCAGTATATGTGAGGTCCTTATTGGCGGCAAATTGGACGAAGGGCGGCAATCCAATCGTTCGATTTATGCCACCGTGAGTGACCCAACCAATTTCTCTACTTCAGTCGTAACCCATCGCCCCAGTATCTAAACACGTCGTTCCCCTGAAATTCTGATAAGGTAGCCACAGAATCCATAATCTCGCTTGTAATCCCATTAACGTCACTTGCGAGGCACCATTCAATCCATGGAGCGACTGGCAGGCACTGGGACGGCTTACATTACTATGTGCACCTATCTCTGCGTTTATCTACGCACTATGTCCGCACGGAGTGGATAATGACAATAGCGTGGTGTATCGCTGTGGCGTCTCTCCTGCGATGCAATTGGCCAGGCCGTACAACCAGGCAAGTCACATCATCATCGTGTCGGTGGATTTACCGCTAGTGTCGATATGTTGCCACCATCAAGAAGCGATGTATGGGATCGCCGTGACATATATATGTCCAGCAGCGGCACCGACAGAGTGAGAGAAAGTTGGAAATGTCGACGCCCCTCTATACGTCTCTAGCCATCCTGGCATGCGCGACTTTGTATTCCACCATACGGCGCACTCGGGCTGACCGGGAGAATCTCCCACTTCCTCCTGGTCCAAAGAAGCTCCCACTTATCGGGAACTTGTTGGATGCCCCGTCCGAGTTTCAGTGGATCAAGTACCACGAATGGGCGAAACACTACGGTGAGCGGCAAGCAGTGTAAAAGTATCTCCCCCTGGTTGACGACTTGAATTAGACTCAGACATTATCCACCTTAATATCGCTGGATCTTCCCTCATTGTTATCGACACAGCTGAGGCGGCCAACGAGTTATTCGATAAGCGATCGTCTATCTACTCCAGTCGGTACGTTCTAATTCCGAAATATTTTCCTTTGCTTGCTAAAGCGTACGCTAGCCCACGATTTATCATGCTTAACGAACTGTGGGTATTTGTTTACTTCATACAAGCAACTAGGAACTCACGAGGGATCTAGGATGGGCTGGTCGTGGCTCTTTGCTACGATGGAGTACGGCGAGTTGTGGAAGCAGCATCGCAAGCTCTTCCAAAGGGAGTTCCACCCGAACGCCGTCACGGCTCTATTCCAGCCCCAAGTACTCAAGCATACGAGTGGACTCTTAACACGACTCCTGGAGTCCCCAGATGACTTCATGGAGCACATCAATCAGTACGCCTGCGCCTCTATCGCAATTTCATTGAGTTTACACTGACCGCGATGCAGTACCACCGTTGCTATTATCATGGACGTCGGCTACGCTATAGACATAGCTTCAAAGGAAGACCCCCACGTTGTTACTGCTGAGAAGGCGCTAGCGGGCTTCAATATAGCGTCGCTCCACGGCGCATTCCTTGTCGAGGTCCTGCCTGTACTGAAGTATGTTCCGGCGTGGATGCCCGGGGCCGGGTTCCAGAGGAAGGCTAAAGTGTGGAAGCACTACGCAGAGAAAATGGTCAGAGATCCTTTTGCTGTTGTGAAGGAAAGGATGGTGGGTACCGTACTTCTTTGTTGTTATGAAGTTACCCGCCGCTTATCATTCGGTTGTAGGCTGGTGGAACCTACGAACCCTCTTTTACTTCGCGCTGTCTCGAAAACGTGGATGACACGGGTGATATTGCTCAACAGGAGCGTCTGATTCAAGGCACAGCCGCAAACCTGTACGCTGGTAGGTTACCTCCTTAGTTCGTTAGCGCTTTAGCGCCCATCTATCGGTACTCACCTTGATCAGCTGGCTTTGATACAACAACATCGGCATTGAATTCGCTGATTCTCGCTTTACTCACACATCCAGACGTTCAGGCCCGAGCTTGGCGAGAGATCGATAGCGTTCTGGGGGGGAAACGCCTGCCTGATTTCGAAGATATGGACAGTCTGCCCTACGTGACTGCTATTACAAGAGAAGTTCAAAGGTACGTATTCACCGGTATCTCTTCTTGTGACGGTCATCAATGTTATTCTTGTCAGGTGGCAGCCTGTTACGCCGTTAGGTAGGGTAACGATGCCATCTGCGAACATAACCAATGATGGCTGATCCGTAGTTTTTATCAAGCAATACCTCACTTCGTAACGGTCGAGGATGAATATAAAGGATATCGCATTCCTGCAAACTCGATTGTCGTCGGAAATGCGTGGTGCGCTCCCTCGCATCCCATTTCTTTCCCCAATACCGATTCCATTTCAGGGCAATGCTTCACGATGAAACGAAATATCCAGACCCATTTGCGTTCAAGCCTGAACGTTGGTTATTGCCAGACGGCAAGTTCAACCCAGATATGAAGGAGCCAACTGTCGCGTTCGGGTTCG